GGGGTATTGTCCTTCAGTTGAACAAACTTGAAGCAGCACATAGGATAGATTCCATATCTGGGTATTTTTTGTACAATGTAAGAGTCTACACTGTCCAAATCATTATTGTGAATAAGGCACCAACAGACAAAGCAGGCATTATTCCTCACTTGCTAAGATAACCTTTATGTAATATTGAGGTAAAGAAAAGAATACAATATACATGAGTTAAAATTTACAATAATTTCATTACATGAGAAAAAAAGACAAACAATTATAGGATTGCAGCTCATTCGTTTTTCAAATACAGAGAAATTTGAGAAACTGAAATCTTTGTGGCATTATCTAGAAAAAGTCTCAGAAGAATGCATTTGTGAGGACCCTTCTCTTCAAAATCCCATCATTTCTTTGTGGTATACAATGAACATCTTGGTGCCTAACATTTCCAAGATCAATGTCTCTGCAGTCATTGTTAATAACTTGTCCCCTCTCTCTATACTGATCTTGTGAAGAATGCAGCATGCAGTGATATAAATCATTGCTTGATCAGGGGATGTTCTGAACCCTGTTGTTGTAGAGCGTGGAATTTTCTCTTCAGTACACCAAAAGTCTGTTCAATGGAAACTCTTGTTCGACATAGACTTGCGTTAAATCTTTCTTCCGCTGGTGTTGTAGGGCGTCATAAAAAAACCTGGAAAAAGGGTATCCAGAATCTCTGAGCAGCATTCCATCATGAGTACCTATATAATATATTATATATAAATTATCCTAAGTGAAATTCAATTAAATCAAGGTAAATTAAATTGCAGGAGAATGTTAATGGTACATCTAATGAATAGAAATTTCCATAATTATTTAATGGTTATACTGATATCTGTACACTAGTATGTACATTATATTTTAAAACTTTTGAAATCAATAATCGAGTTATTATACAGTATTTCACATGTTTTATTTCAATTCAAAGCCATTTTAAATTAGCACCTACCATTTTCAAATGCTTGAGACAAAGCAGAATTTCTCCAGATTCTAGCATCATGAGTTGATCCAGGCCATCTTGCACATAATGATCTAATGCAAAAAAAAAAAAAAAAAAAAAAAAAAAAAAAAAAAAAAAAATTAGGATCACACACCATCTATATAATTATAAAATATAAATCCACCGGCAAGTGGTGGCGTCTCCATATGAGTGAAAAATTCCCGAGAAGGACGTTAAACAACATACAAACAAACAAACAAACAAATTTTAAAAATATCTCACTTTTTCAGTATTATATGAGCATTTTAGTAAGGCTGCTTCAAAACAACGTTGACATTACTTACTGAAAACGTAATGTCGTCGCATACATCAAATTCAGTTTCCAAACATTCTTAATAAACTACATTTTTAAAATAACTTTAATCATTTTGACACATATCAACTTGAGAGTTGTTTTTCTTCTAAGCAACTAGTATGTAATTATTCATGAGGAAAGTCGCATACTATCTTCATACTATAATAGAGCAGATCTAGTAATGGAGGGGTTGGGGTCTAGACAGGATCTAGGAACTGTTTTTATTCAGTCGAAAAATTACATGTAATACTTGTTGAATTCCACACAGGTTATTCTTTTTATAATTAATACTCTACCTCAATTTATAAAATATATAAAACACGTGTAATATTAAAATATAAAAAGATCTATATAGAAGTTTCAGAAGGGCACCTCGCGCAATTAAAGCGGGGCATCCCCTAAGAACACATCGATCCCGATATTAAAAAAATATATTTTCCGATATAAGCACACATTCACTCACCTATATATATGCACGTTTCTTTATCCCCTATAACTTTGTTACGAAGGGATAATAACACCCTATGTAATTCTAATGGGAATTAAACTCAGATACGCCATGATTTGTAAACTTTTTTTTTAAAGTTTCATAAAAAAATCATAATTTATAAAAAAAAAAAAAAAAAAATCTGTTCACTACTTCCAAGAAGATTATTTTATTTATCTTTTTTTTAAATACTTTAATAAAAATGTTTAAATAATTAAGTTTCCATTGTTTATACAACTCAGTTTCTTCGCCTGTCTAAGTTATGGAATAGAAACAAAAAGAGGCACATAATGATGTTAAAGGATTGTTTTATAAACGTTTATTCCGTACTTGAAAATTTAAAATTTTTGTCAACTTCTTACCTTTTAAAGTAAATCACATGTAATCAAATGTTTCTGTACTTTTTTTTTTTTATTTTGAGGCAACTGTGCCCTCGATGCTACTATATCTCTTGAAAACACCAATTATCGTTCATCATTTCTTAAAAGGGCAGCTAATCTATATATATATATATATATATATATATATATATATATATGTATATATATATATATATATATATATATATATATATATATATATATATATATATATATATATATATATATATATATATATATATATATATATATATATATATATATATATATATATATATATGTATACATATATATATGTATATATATATATATATATATATATATATATATATATATATATATATATATATATATATATATATATATGTATACATATATATATGTATATATATATATATATATATATATATATATATATATATATATATATATATATATATATATATATATATATATATATATATATATATATATATATATATATATATATATATATATATATATATATATATATATATATATATATATATATATATATATATATATATTGCGAATTACCCTATATTCACTCAAAATTCAATCCAACTTAAGATTGTTATTGCAGAAAGGACACTAAAAGAACTGGAATTTTCAATATTTTGACTTTATACGAGACTGTTGGAACTTGATTAAGAATTTATTTGTCCATAGTCTGTACGGTTTAAATTTGAACTGTACGCAAAACGTGCTCTTCCCTACAAAAAAGGGAATGAATTTGCGTTTGCATGAAATATGAAGATAACGAAGAGTTTTCAATCTCGAAAGTCCAAGTAAACGATACAAATTTGGAGCAGAGCAAACATCGACTTCAAAATTTAGAGGTTGGATCAGGTGCCAGGGAGGAGTGAGCATCCCTTACACACAGGTCACACCCGCCGTGTGCACCTTTTCATGATCGAAAAAAAAAAGCCGGGGAAAATCCGTAAACAGTCCAGTGTATAAAGAATGGCCTAACAATTAGTATGAAAGACGTCAGTCAGCAATTTCCTCAATAATAGGTTGAATGTGCTGACAAGGTTATTTATCGACCATAAAACTTGCAAAATCATAACTTCAACCGAGACTGTTGATATCCTTATTTCATCAGCTTGTTTATCAATAGTTTACCTCGTTTTAGAAATTTTTCATACGTAGAGCATGCTCTTGCTTATCGAATCAACTGAGAGACCAAAACCCCATAAGCAGATGATAAGGGTATACATGTAATGCTACATAAGTAAGGGAAGTTGACTATTGAAAAATTGAAGTTGTCACGTTTATCATTAAGCTTTGTTGTTAGGTTACCATTAACGTCTTTTTCTAGTAAAATATCAAAATATGAAACAGATGTGTCAGACTCTGTGGTATCTTTTATTTCAAGTCACTGGGATATTTCGAGTCGTCATATGAATGGAAATAACTATTATTAATTGATAATACATAGTCGATATATCGAAATGTCGAGTTGCAGGCCACAGCACGTGTTTTCTTCTTCTCATGTAGAAAATTTGAATAAATTCTGCCTCGTATGAATACAAAATATAGCTCTGCTTATAACGGGGCGCAATTGATACCCACTGGAATTAAAACAGATTGTTGGTAGACCTGTCTCCAAAAACTACACATATTGTCAATCAGAAACTCAAGCAACTTTTTAATATCAATTTCAAAGTACTTTTGTAAACAATCAGAATGTTTTTTAACTAAATGATTTTGCAAATGACCAATGACAAGGGTAAGTATACATGAATTTACGAGTTCCAAATTTATTGAAAAAGCAACTGTAAATGGTGTCAGAAAGCCTGGACTTCAATTTATGATGGGGAATGCATATGGTTGTATAAAGTATTGAAAAGTCGTAAGTTTTGATGTTACTGATTTTAGTAAAACTTTGTGATTGCAAATTTTCTCAAAGTTCCTTAGAGATTTTTTAAGTATCCACGTCTGATTTACACCACCTCTCGAATATACTGTTGTAGAGAACTCCTGAAGTTTCTCCTTCATTACAGTAAATATTTATTTACATATGTTTATCCTTAAATTGCTTTAACATATAAAACAAATATCCTAAATCTATTTAGGGAGAAAAATTCATAAAAGTTACGTCATGTAGAGTGTAAACAATTTCTATGTGCAGATCAATATTGAAATATTACTACAAGGAAATACAGCCTAACTTGAATGTGCCGTATAACACGTTGAAATGTATTTTGTTTGGGTTTTGTTGTTTTTTTCATGTTTTATTTTACAATTTTTCCTAGTTTCTACATCACAATTATGCGGAGGGTAAGTGGAAATTTGAATATCAGCCTTATTTAACATTGAGACACTATTTAAAAATTAATACAGTTAAAAACACAGAGGAATATTATCGAATCTTATAAAACGACATTTACAGACCAAAAATGAATTGATAGTTTGCTTTTGTTTTAATTAAATTTAGATATTAGATTAAATATTGACCTATTGAGTGATGATTTATTATTAAGGGAAAAAAATCTTACATACAGGTATGTTTATGATTATGCGACTTCATGCATACTTTTTTTCAGGAGGACTGGGCTAATATGTTGCAGTGGAAATATGTGGAATGAGACTTTGAAAGAATGCACACGTTTGTAACTCTGTTAAAGCGAATAAGTATATCATAAAAATCCTTAAAAAACAGAAGAAAAGGAAAATGAATACATTATGATTAAAATATTAGGTGCTAAATCATAATCACATTTTACTTGCTGATATCTTTTCACAGCTTGTATGAACGGTTTTTGGGGTAAAGATTGCAGATCAACTTGCCCTCCTCCAACATTTGGTGAAAAGTGCAAGTCAAAATGTTATTGTTCTAATGAACTCTGCCATCATGCATACGGCTGCAAGACAAATTCAGGTACTAAAGTATGCAGTTCAAATAAATGATTTTGTCCATAGTTATTCCAAGTTAAAACCTATAAATTATACGTATTTACAGTTGGGTGTAAATCTGGAATGTATGGTGCTTATTGTGAGAAGATTTGCCGATACCCTAGCTACGGAAAAAAATGTCAACTATATTGCAACTGTACCGAGGAACATTGTAATCCCTCTAAAGGATGTAAAGGTAAACAGGATGGAGAAATATTTTTTTTTAATTTTTTTTTTTTTATGAAATGCTTAAATTTCCGTATTTTCTTTTATCTTGTTGATACGTACAGTTTTATTTCCGAGAATGTATTTCCTCTAGAGGGAGTAGGGGTCTTATTGGTATTGACAAAAAATGCTAAAACTGGACGACACACTATTGATTGTATTTGCGTTAATAAACAATATTCCATTAATACTTACCTTTCAGTGTTTAGGTTTTGTAGGAGGAAGAAAATCCAATAATGTAATCACAGGATATTTTTCAGCAGAATTTAAAGTTTAAATCATAAAAAAGATAAGAAGAAAGAATAAAAACCTAAAATGTTAAGTTCTTTTAGGCATGAAGTATACCAATGTAATGTTATTTGCAATAGTCGGTGACATTGGAATAGGGGTATTTTTTTCTTAGTCTGGTGTCTTAAAGCAAGACGTAATATGTCTTATGCCTTTAATTTTATATCTAGGATCCGCTTCTACTAGCCTTACCTTCTCGGGGATATCTTCGAGTCCCTTCCTTCCAACAGAAACCTTAGCTGTATCTGATAGAGTTTCTTCATATACTAGTTTGAAGACAACCAAAGACGGCATAATAATTTATAATCGTTATGTAAATTGAGAAACTATCATTTTTATCCTAAGAAATTTTGGCAAGAAATTTCTTTTTTGCGAGATTTTACATTTTATATACCGATTTTTAATAGCAAATTTTGATATTGCGCCGCCTCTTTACACCATACATTGAATAATTTAATTTAAATAGGTAAAATCTGCGTAATTACGCAATGTTTTACACTAAAAATATTAGTTGTTAGTAGTTATAGTTATTTTGAAAGTTTCATTCATTTATGACACTGGGTTACTACAAAACGACGCTTGTCTACGGAATTTTGGGACAACCCTCGTATATTCAAATATGTCATGTATATCTGATGCATAGCAATCGACCAAAAATACTTCCAACATAATTGAGGAAATGGTATATTTAATATTCCTTTATGTAGAGAAAAAATTTTAACCTTACTCTTGCAGATATATCACAAGGAAATAGCGCCCGAAATATTTGTGCGAAAGGAACAAGAAAAAAAATCCTAAATGTTTTTGTATCTTTGAGTTTTTAATCATAGCAGCCTTAGTCTTAGTTCTGGATACTTGTATTTGTTTTATACAGAGCTCGTGTGCATATTTCTGGTAATATATAAGATATTACAACCTGAGAGTCTGCTATAAAAACTTTATATTAAAATATCCCTCATGATTTACATACTGCAAGATACAGAAACTAATTCGTATTTATTGTTTGCTTTAAAGTTACTCCTTATTCATAAAACTGTCTATAAGCCGATATCAGAATGCCAAAACTCATACTCATTTCATATAACAAGGTAATTGCGAAGTTCTACCGTTGTTTTGGAGTGCATTAATACTACAAAGACATTTTAAGCACACCTTAGAATTGATAAAAGTTGAATCCACCCTAAGGAAAATATAATCAAGAACTATAAAAAATGTAGGCAAAAGGAAATATGTCAATGTTTCAGTCCTGTGTTGGTTTTGATTGAATTTATTATCGAAAGATCTCCACCACTAAATTCTGTTATGACAAACTATGCGTACTTTCAGGATTATTTAAATACTTGGGAAATTATCTCTCTTATCAGAGGATTTGTCCCCTTTTACTCTCTGACATTAATAAAATCTACATCGTGATTCATTTACAGTAGAAATCTAACACTTAAACATATTGAAATGGAGCCTCTATTCTCCATATACAGTGAAGGTCAATGTCATGTTAGGAGGTCAAAGGCCAAATATTATGACGTCATTTACTGATTCTTCTATTTTTTTCATACAGACCTCTGCAAATCTCTACAATGTCTGAAACCCCTTATTTTTCCCCTTGACATATCTCATTCATTGTATCATTTCAATCATTTTCGCTTAAGAAAACATTAAGTATATCACATTTACATGTGAATCTGGAATTCCCAACCTCTGTTTTTCCTAAGTCACAGTAAACTCACATATAGTGGTATCAATGTTTTTGCTAATTTTTTTTAACAGAAAGGTAAATTTTCTTAATTCATCACGCTCATCTGTTATATATAAAATGGAAATTCATAGGTAATTCACATTCTAATGTCTGATATTTGATTTTACCCTTTTAACGCAGCACAGTTAAGGTGTGCAATGGAAATATCGACAACTTTTTTGTGATTAAAAATGTATTCATAATCAGGATGGCGATTATTTTTAGTACTTTATTTATATCGGACAAATGTAATTATGGTTAAAAACTACATATTGAGGACGATTAGATTTTATATTTAAACATGTCACGTGATGCGGCAGTCACGTGATTTTAGTACATTTACTTGCAGTATTGAGGTCACCTATAAATTTCACTAGTGCAAGGGCATAATCAAATCAAAATTCGAAATTTAGTTTATGAATATTTTCAACACGCATTGCAGTTTCTGAAAAGTGCTGCGATTCTGTATAGATTCTGCTATTTCATTGTTAAAAACGTATTTGTATGACCGCATGCTGTATTTTATGCTGGTCAACGACATTAAATATAGATATAATTAAATTATTTTCAAGATTTCAACAGGATCACAGCACTTTTCAAATACCTTAATACTTCTAGAGTTTATTTGTAAAAGCTTACTATGATCCATTGAGTGTATGCCCTTGCACTAGATCGATTTTTTGAGACCCTTACATTACCCACCGATGTACTTGCATACAAATATACGGCAGTATAAATTAAATAGGAAATGTAAGTAAAATATATGAATAATATCATAAAAAAGACATTGAATCCAAGTTAATGGCATGTAAAATATCTGTAAATAATATTTTATTTAATTATAGAATACATTTTTCGTTGAGAAAATATTTCTGGATCCGCCTCTCACTGCATACAAACTGCGTCAAGTTTTACGAAATGACGTCACATCGGCAAGTACATTGCGATCAGTGACTTGATTATACCTTGTTATGTGGGATTTAACTAACCACAAAACAACATGTTGTAGTAAGTTTTGATGTAGTTTGATGGTCTCCTACAATATAAAGTAGCAAATTATTTCATTTCATAGTTATTTTTTCCAGTATAAATTAGGCCCCAGCTCCTTTTTGTAGCCTTTACTGTGCTGCACAGAGGTCTGATAAACAATATTTCAAATTTTGTGGGCAGAAATGTGAGTTTAAATTTCTTTCATATTATATATAAAGTTCTATGAACAAAAATGAAAGTTAAAAAGAGGAATTTTTGGGAAAATACCTGTTATGAACTACCTTGAATGAAAAGGCAGTAAAGTTCCTTAAATACATATATCACAATATTTTAAAGGGAAGAACTTGGTCTACACTTCTCAAAAAAATAAAATTATATTAAATACAAATATAATAAGGAATTTTATCAGAAGTAATTTACTCAACTATCACAGTAACATGTTACATATCTTGTGAAACAATTTTTATTTTTTTTTATTGTTAAAAAAATACAAACAAGGAAATACAACAAACTGCAATGTAATTGAGCAATCAAAATGATTAAATGGATTTTTATGTATTTCATTCTTTCCAATATCAACATTTAAAATTTCTATAACGCAGGTTATAAAGAAATTGTCATTTTGGTTTTTGGTTATGAATAGCATAATTGAAAAGACGTAATGAAATCTTATCTCATCTTCATCAATTTACCCCTTTGCAATTTAGCAATATATTCAAGAGGCCCCAGTCATATGCTCGGAAACTCAAATGCAGTAGAGGATCATCTATCTGACACAGCCACGGGTACAAAGACAGAATTGAACTACTTGGTGAATGGTATTATCAGTCTTGGAGGCGTTGCGGTCTTCTTAATAATCCTCTATATGCTAACTTTTATTGTGAGACGTAATCCAGGAATGCGTGTAACAACAGAGATGTGAAGTGTTTTCATTTTTTTATTTTTATTTTTATTTTTTTTTATTTTTTTTTTTTAATCCTGTATAGCCATGTCTTCTTCATGAGACGTAATTCTGGAATGAATGTAACGTGTTGCAAGTAATGTTATTATAAAGCATGATAATGACAATTTTGCCGCCAGTTTTATTTATTTAATATCTTTTTTGAATTAAAATGTGTTTGCCGTATGAATTAAACGTTGATCAGTTGGGTCTGTAAACAATTTTCTTCAGTCATCAAAATTATTTGTTGATTTTTTTTTTAGCATAACAGCATGTGATTACATGTAAGAAGTTTTCGGGAGGAAATCTAAGAATATAATATCTGGAGGAATCTGTCATAATTAGTGTATTGAGTTTTTTATACCTGCGATGGACGGAAGACCCATGTTTTGTTAACATAAAAAAGCTATTCTTAAGAATAAAAGACATATGTGCATTTCAAGGGTAACACTTCTGTGAAGATTTTTGTATTATGTAACTGTTTACAAGTATCTATAACAAAGTATATCATTGGAAAATGAAGCAAAAGGAAAACAATGAGATATCGACTTACAGATTTTTGGGCAATTCTCGTACGTGGTACGGCATGCATCGACTTTTCATTACTTTAGACCCAAAATGCATGTCAGCTATTCCTTACACATATGAACAGTTTTTCATTCTTATCAAACTATAATTTCTTGTTTAAATTTTATAAAGTAATTATATATAAAAGACATAGAATAACTGCAAGTTAATCAGTGAATAAAAAGAAGGTGCATAAGAGATGGTGGTCTTAGTAATAAGAGCGGTTCACAAAAAATATATGGGTTAATGGACTAGTAAAATACTGCATTAATATAATTGCATTTATATTTTGTTTTGTAGGAATTGGATTTTAACGAAGGATAGTCATGACTATTAAAAGCAGATTTTTTTTTTTTTTTTGCGAAATGTGAAATTCTCAAAGAACACAAAATCTCTACACTTTTTGTCCCAAAAATAAAATGCTTTTTATATTTTTTTTTTTCATTTCCGTGCACAATGTTGAAATGATTTCTTAAAATAATCTACAGAAATATTTTGAAGCATTACTACTGCTAAAAATTCTAGCTGATATCAAATAAAAGATGAAAGTGGGTACAATGTTCATTCGTTGCATCCACCAGCACATGTTAACTTCGAACTTCCAGGGAAAAAAACATTCCAATTAAAGAACTGGTGTCAGGTTTGTCATTAAGTTTGGAGCAGTCTGAATACGATTGTGATATAGATTCTGAGGATATAATCAATATGGGGAAAAGTTTGAAAATGACCTCTAAAGTCACCAGAAAAAAATACACCCATACGGCCGCACTAAAGTTAACTAATTATTAACTGCAGCGCAACTGTTTAGCCCCTTTGCATTTCGAACTGCTTAATGGCAACATATTTGTCAGTTTGATAGGCACAAGAAAACCCGCCTTCCTTTTTTTTTAATCTAAATGTTTCCTTTGTACCTATAAATAAAATGGATGGCAAGTAGTTAATGTGCTTCCAGAGAATGATAACAGATATACGTGCAAAGTCTTATTGGTGAAGTCATGTATAATGTTCAAATGAAATTACTGTACGGGCAGATTTTTCATAATTAGCGAGGAATCGATTTCTGTCGTCTACTAGTACTGTTATACCCGAAACAGGTGCAATGTAGTGCATCCACCAAAAGAGGTTGATTGTGAAAATATTCTTAGTAAAGAACTATTAACAAGTTAGTCGTCAATTTTAAAATATTCTAACTAGTACTAGATAACAGATTTGTGGCTACTATGAATGTGGGAAAAAGTATTAAAAAAAATAACTTTTAAGTGTTATTAAAACGAAAAATACATCATGTCGGTAATCTTATGGAAATTTCTCAGTAATGATATTCAACAGAGTGTCATGTGTTAAATGGACTTTTTTGAGAATTTGAAATGTTGCAGTTTTATTTTTAAAATTTCTTAATTGATTACATGTGCCCTGCTTTCATCCAGTATTGCACAGCTCGGAGGTGATGTATTCTATTACCTACAAGAGTAAAGCTTCTATTTTTGTGTGCTGTTGTTCCAGATTATTAATTAAGGTGTATAAATTAATACTTTTTATCACATTAGAAACATGTGTTAAAATTTGACTATTTTCATTGAATCAAGGGATTTTTCCGAAGGAAATATAGACAATTATCATGTAATTAAATTCAAAAATGCAGATACAAAATTGAAATGTTGACACTATGGTGCCACGAAAAAAAATAATTACAAGCACAATTAAAGAGTTTTTTTTACATTGAGATCACAGAACATGTACACATATCTACCCCCTGTATGCTAATTTAATGGATATATAAAATGTGATAATTGGTGAATGCCTACTTGGTAAATTAATACAAAATATAGGATATGTTCCAGTTAAAGAAATACATAAATCACTACTACTTTATAAAAATATATGTATATAATGTTTTTAAATTTGAATTACACACACAGCAGAATGCATTAAGAAACTTTGAATAGGATAAAGAATATGTTTATAGGTAAGCAGACTTTTATGATATACAACCTAGTGATCCTGAGGTATCCTTCAAAATGGAGAGCAAACCAACGCTTTTAATCAGAAAATGAAAATTTATCATATTGTTCGAAGAAATTTTGGCCATTGAAAAGTCTTATGGAAATTTACAGCAATGAGCTATTCTTTCTTGTGAAGTTATGAATTATATCATTTCCTGAAATGAATAAATAAGAATATATATATATATATATATATATATATATATATATATATATATATATATATATATAAAACATTTATTATACATTATTCCACTTCGGGCCATAAAACAACAGACTATTCCTATCAATCCTATGTTCGGAGGAGATATCCCCCAAAACCAATTTCATATTCCATCCAGTTTCGCTTAAAACTTAAGGATCAGTCTTACCGATTCAAGAATGTCAATATAATAAAAATAATAACATAGATTCCATTCATGGGAACTTAAAATGATTTTTCATCAAAAATGTTTGTTTTGTTTTGTTTTGTTTTGTTTTTTTCTCATTGAACACGTAAAATGCAAATCTAAAGAAATTCATTTAGCTTTGTGAACAAATATTTTATTTGGTGTTTATGTATTTACTTGGCTAATTTAATGTACGATATCGCAATCCTTTAAGTCTAAATGTATAACTAAAATGGACCGCCCGCGTGGCGCAGTGGTTAGAGCGTTTGCTCTAGAGTCGCGGTGTAAGGAGTTGATCCTTACGTCGAGAGTTCGAATCCCAAACCGGGACATGGAGACCGGTCCTTCGGATGAGACCGTATAAACCGAGGTCCCTTGTCGCAGTAGGTGTTGGCACGAAAAAAGATCCCTCACTGCTCAATGGCCCTTAGTGCCCAGTATAGGTCAAAATTTGCAGCCCTCCACCGGCAAGTGGTGGTGTCTCCATATGAGTGAAAAATTCTCGAGAGGGACGTTAAACAAAAAACAAACAAACAATATTACCAAAAAGGTGCACAGGCTAAAAATGATACATGTATCTTTATTTGGACAAATTATTAGATAAAAAAAATACAGAACTATAATTTGCATTAACAAGAAGAACATAGGGTGGTGGATGTGTTAATTGACTCTCAAGCTCCTTTACCATTTGAAAGAATAAATAGTGCAGTACATGTATTTAATGAATAAAGGTATTCATACAACCCATTTCTTTTATTTGTTACAAAGATCCTTTTATTTCTTTTTCTAAGTTAATTACCAAACATTTACTGTTGTATTTTAAATAAGAGTTATTTGAGAATCAGAAGTCCAGTTTTCTTCGAATTGGGGAATAGAGTTCTCTCTGTACAATGTATGTATTCTTTATTATCACAAAATATCTACACTACGTGGCTGATGTATTTTAAATCAAGTTTTAATGACAATTAAAGAAAAAAAAATCGATCGGTGAAAATCGATTTACATATGGTTGAATTCTAAAAGACCCCGTATAAATTTCATAATTTTTAGTGTACCACATACCACAGATGATGACTTTAATTAAAAACAAAAAGAAAGTAAATTAATACAAATAAGAGATTAACAAATTTGAAAAACAATCACTTCTTTTCTGTTTTCAGTATACTTCAACAGCATTGTTAAGAATTAGTAATCGATCTGCATGCATGTATCTGTCACTTTGATCAGCGCATCTACCTGTTTTCGCATAATTTTTGCCTTTCATCTAAAAGGTTGAGCGTGTTGACAGGCAGTTCATGTGATGGAAGAGAATTATTAGAGATATCTATGCAGTATCTGTTTGGCGAATATAATATTCAAAAGAAGTTGATGTTACTCTACTTGCTTAAAACTCTTTCAGCCCAAAGAAAACTGAATCAAAGTCTTTATCACGTTAATTTAAAGATATAAACAAAATACTGTCAAAAATACAATGTTTTTTTTTTTTTTATTTTATTGAATTAAAGGTATCAGAAAATCTAATTTAAACGAAAAGGATTCTACGCTATGTGCATCATGAATTTGTGATGATCACGAAATTTCTCTTTTTTTAAACTGATAGGAGAACATTTTGATTTGTGTAAAGCCCTGGCATCAACATGAAGTAAGATCGATTCAAATTTATACAACTATTTACCTTCACCTTGATTCCTGTAATATGTTTATTCATTCTGGTAAAAATTGTGAGTTGGTAATAATAAGCTCATTTTTGCCGATGATGTATAGTTCCAAAATGTAATGCAAATCATATTGATCATGCTGGACAGAATCCCATCAAGATATTTTCGTGGGGGAAATACAAAGAGAAAATTATTATGTAAATTAATATTTAAATATTTAAAAGAAAAG